TTTATTGGTCTAATATTCATGTGTTTATTCGGGTGATCGAAAAACAGTGTTACTGATCGGGTTTGCAAAGAAATAGTGGTTGGGTTTTATTGATGTGGCGGTTCATACCCACAAGTACAACCCGTATTATTGCATGCTACGCGTAAACAACCACTCAAAGGTCAACACGTGTCACACGTCAACGGCGTCTAGAAAGGGAAAGTTGCTTCATTCGATCTTAATCGATATCTCTGTGAAACACAAACGCGCAAGAACAAAAACCGCAAAGGTCTCTTCCTTTAGACCTCTATAACCACATCGCAACTCCAGTTTTTTCCCAGGTATTTCGATCTGATTCTTGCGAAATCCGAATCCTCCTCGTAGTTTTATCTGATTTTTTGGTGAAATTATCGATCGATCGGTTCATGATTAGGGTTAAAATTTGTTATTTTTTTCGATGAATTTGTAGTGACTTGTGATTGTGTCGATTCGGGAAGACGAGATCGAAGTGGGTTTCTTCGTCGCGGGTGATTTAAGCAACTTCATCTATAACCATGATGAATCGGCTATTTGGAAAACCCAAGCAGGAGTCTAATGCTCTCCAAACATTGGACAAGCTAAACGAGGTATCACCCGATTTCACTTAAATCTTATGCTTCGATTTGAAAATCGATGTTACTGTTTGTTTGCTCTCAGAATATCATCACAATCAGAGATTAATTTGCTTAATCTGGTTATGAGATTCCACCTTAAATCCATTTCTTTGTGTGTATAGATTGAATCGGGGCTTTCTTGATCTCAATAGATACGACAGTTTTGCTTTTACCATATCCAAGTTTTGTTTATATTCCTTTCAGTTTCTTTACTTTCTCATTGTTGTTTGTTTCCGGCAGACTCTTGAGATGCTAGAGAAGAAGGAGAAAGTACTCCTGAAGAAGGCTGGACAAGAGGTTGAGAAGGCGAAAGAATACACCCGTGCAAAGAATAAACGCGGTAAAACCAAATTTGCTGTGTTGAGCTTGTTGTGTGTTGTTATTTCTTGAGTACTTAGTTGTATCGGGTCTTTTGCAGCGGCTATACAGTGTTTGAAAAGGAAGAGGTTATATGAGCAACAAGTCGAACAGCTTGGGAATTTCCAGCTGCGTATACATGATCAAGTGAGTTTAAAAAAAAAAAAAGTTACTGTCCTTCTAAGATTGCTAATTTCAGCAGTAAGAATTTATCGGGACCGCATCTCTCTTTTCATATAGATGATTATGTTAGAAGGCGCGAAAGCAACAACAGAAACCGTAGATGCATTGAGGAGCGGAGCTTCTGCAATGAAAGCAATGCAGAAAGCAACGTAAGTGTTTTATCACATTTTTACCACTTCACCTTTTACTTCCATTCGAGCCTGTGGAATCGCTAAAATGAGCTTGTTCTTAAGTTGTGTTGACTCTTTTATGCTTTTCTATCTTGCCTTTTGGCATTACTTGAATGCTTCAACGTATCCACTTTCTAACTCGTAAAACACTGTTTTGTAGAAATATCGATGATGTGGACAAAACCATGGACGAAATCAATGAGCAGACTGAGAACATGAAGCAGATCCAAGAAGCATTGTCAACTCCAATCGGGTCAGCAGCTGATTTTGATGAGGTAACTTTCTTGTACCCTTCATGGTGATATTCTTCATTCAGCTAAGGATCGTTGTGTAAGAAAAACTTCTATTTTTGGTAGGATGAGCTTGAAGCAGAGCTTGAAGAACTAGAAGGTGCAGAGCTTGAAGAGCAACTTCTTCAACCGACAACTCCATTGCCTTCTGTTACTGTGACTGGTGTGCGTCAACCTGCTCGTCCTGCTGCTCAGAAGCAGCGGACTGCTGAGGAAGACGAACTCGCTGCGTTACAGGCTGAGATGGCCCTCTAAGGTCACTTCACTTCTCTCTTATCTATAATCAAAACAAATCAATCAAGGCTTCTTTTGTTTTCAAACACAAATATTTTGCGTTTATATGATTGGAAAATGCAACTGCAAACCAGCAATTTGCTAACAGATCATGGATTTCTAAATTAATTACTTTTGGAAACAGCTTGATTTAACCGCAGGTTATTCACCTCAGCGAGCAGACCTGTATGCATTGATAAAACAAGAACAGACGACGTATATAAGGATCGAAGTCAAATTTGAATCGGAGGGAAACTTTTAATAAATCTTCATCTTGCATTTGCATTATGAATGTTCTTCGCATAGTTATCTTTTGTAATTTTTGTATCTTTTATGACACTTTTTTATATTGGTAATCTTACTGGGTTACTACTTAATTCTACTCTTCCCTTTCCTTGTTATGTACCCGTACATGTATGGCCAAACTATACGATTGACTTCCCCATTCATAAAAGTCGTGCCGTTTTGAAATACATAAATTGAACTCCGTGTCGTCTTTTAAGATCTTAATCCATATCCAGAACTTAGTCTTATGTTGACAGAAAGCGTGGGATAAAAGCCCGCCCAAGTTTTCGAGGCTTCCTGAACAATTTTCATTTCGAAATTTTCT